GAACGAAGTCTGTTCCTCTGATCAAAATGAAGACCCTATTCGTTTTAGATTCCTGTGCTGTAGTTTTTAATCAATTTACTTTAGAGTTGGGATCCTGAAGAAGGATTGTAAGGCAGAGGTAAAGTCGTTGGTTCAATCCCTGATTTGCAGTGTTATAACGGTGGGCCCAAAGATCAAGTGGGCCCTCAAGAATTTCTAATACCATCTAGCCTGTAAGGCAATCATGGTGTCATCTTCAAGGTTTATTCTCTACCTAGTAGTGATCCAAACTTAGCAGCAGCAGACAGTTAGATAACTGAGAAGTAGGACTTTGTAAATCCTTGCATGGGGGATTTGATTCAGTGACGCTTCAATCAACCTTCCCTCCCAAACAGTGGTGGGATTCAGCCGGTTCACACCACTTCGGCAGAACCGATAGCTAATGTTGTGTTGCCCAGGCCCAGAATGGACTTCCAGAAGTGGCATCCACACAGAGAACCGGTTGTTCACCTATTTGAATCCCACCACTGCTCCCAAAGTAGATTCACCAAATGAATCCGTTTTGAAGCAGTGGGATCAGCGAATCAGTGTCTCCAAGACATCTGAAGAGCTTTCTCAAATACTTTAAAGATTTGGTGGCTTTTCTGCTGCTTTGGACGGAATGTGGCAATTTCAGTTCCCTATGTGGAGAAAATTGAGAAGAAGCAGGTTGAATGTTGCAAGGGCATTGACAGGACGTGCGCACACACACACACACACCAGATAATAAGATTTATCAACTTGTTCAAGTCTCTATATCAGATCTCTATCTGGGATGACAAGACTAAGCTTGCTTCAGGCTTCCTCAGCTAAAGGATCTGTCATTCTGGTGAGAGAAAAGTTCCCTAAGGATGGGCTCCAGCATGACTCCAAACAAAATCTCGGAAGACTAAGCCTCTAGTCCTGATGGCCGATATTTAGGCTTGGATTGTTCTTCTTCCGAGTTAGTCATACCAAGACAACCAAGAACTAAGCAAACTTATCAGCATTTTACATACAGTATGAGTTCAAGGCTGACCTGATTTTAAAACTGGTGCAGAGTTAGATATTTAATGAAGAGAAGGACGAAGGGGGACATGATAGCAGTGTTCCAATATCTCAGGGGCTGCCCCAAAGAAGAGGGAGTCAAGCTATTCAACAAAGCGTCTGAAGGCAGGACAAGAAGCAATGGATGGAAACTAACCAAGGAGAGAAGCAACCTAGAACTAAGGAGGAATTTCCTGACAGTGAGAACAATTAACCAGTGGAACAACCTGCCTCCAGAAGCGGTGAATGCTCCAACACTGGAGGTTTTTAAGAAGAGACTGGACAGCCTTTTGTCTGAAATGGTATAGGGTTTCCTGCCTGAGCAGGAGGTTGGACTAGAAGACCTCCAAGGTCCCTTCCAACTCTATTATTATTATTGTTGTTGTTGTTTGTTATTGTTGCTATTATTATTGTTGTTATTATTATTCACTATGGGCCCAACTTTCTGAAAAGAGGAGGGTCATGTCAAAGTCTATTAAGGCTACTTGGTCAGTGCCCCTCTCTCTCTCTCTCTCTCTCTCTCTCTCTCTCTCTCTCTCTCTCTCTCTCTCTCTCTCTCTCTCTCTCTCTTTTTCTCTCTCTCTCTCTCTCTTTCTCTGTTTTTTATCTTTCTTTTTCTCTCTCTTTCTTTTCTTCTTTCTTTCTTTCTTTCTCTCTCTCTCTCTCTCCCTCTCCCTCTCTCTTTCTCTCTCTCTCTTTCTTTTTCTCTCTCTTTCTTTTCTTCTTTCTTTCTTTCTTTCTTTCTTTCTTTCTTTCTTTCTCTCTCCCTCTTCCTCTTTCTCTTTCTCTCTCTCTCCCTTGCCTATTTCTATGGCCCCATATTTCATTATACCTGCCTGTTTCTGCAACTTTGGTATTTAAGGACAGTTTGGCCCTAGGGGCTTGGCACTATTTCATTCCTTCCACTCAGCCATCACTCAAGTGATAAAACGCCTGTCTACATTACAGATAATGTTGAGCCAGTGATGGGTGGGTGAATGTAGAAGATGTTACAAATAGTGCTGCAATCCTGGAAATGGTGAAGGTTATTTTTTTTTTCTCAAAAAGAACTACGCTTGCCACCTATTTGGGAAACTACTATGAAACCCATTGATCGTAGGAGCAAAGCTACAGCATTCCAGAAGGAAGGAATGTGAAGGAAGGGTAGAAAGTAGAAGGAAGTTTGTAGTCTTCTTCTGAGGTCATAGTTTCCATTCTGCCTTGTGTATCCTGAAGACCCATCAAGGTCAGTGACGTGACGCTCCTTCCAGGAGGAACTAAGCTTAGGAACTCCTGTGATCAGAAGCCACAAAACTTGATCTGGGGTCACCTCAGAGACACAAACGGAAAGATAAGACAGAAAAACAAATTAACAGAGTTGGCAGGGACCATGGAGGTATTCTAGTCCAACCCCTTGCTCAAGCAGGGAATCCTATACCATTTCAGACAAATGGTTGTCCAGTCTCTTGGTAAAAACCTCCAGTGTTGGAGCACCCACAACTTCTGGAGGCAAGCTGTTCCACTGATTGTTCTTACTGTTAAGATATTTCTTCTTAGTTTTAGGCTGGCTCTTTCCTTGATTAGTTTCCATCCATTGCTTCATGTTCTGCCTTCAAATTCTCTGGAGAACAGGTTGATCCTCTTTTCTTTGTGTCAGCCCTTTAGATATTGGAAGACTGCTATCATGTCGCCCCTCGTCCTTCTTTTCATTAAACTAGACATACCCATTTCCTTCAGCCGTTCTTAAACGTTTTAGCTTCCAGGCCCCTAAACATCTTCGTTGCTCTTCTCTGCACTCTTTCTGGAGTTTCAGATCTCTGCCCTTCCTCTATCCTAAAAGAAACATAATGTGGGATTAATTCAAAATTTGATTGAGGAAAAACCCTTGATGGTGTCTTGGAATTAGCAAGATTCTCCACAGGGCCTATCAACCACGCTACCTTGATTCCATTCAGTTTTGGCGAGAAAATCTTCTCCCCAAACACCAACATCTAGAGAGATCCAGACAACCCTTTCATTTCTCCAAAGGAAACAGGTTACAGTGACACACTGGTCCCTTCTACTTAGAAGAAGAGGCCAGAGCTGTAGCCTTACATGCAGAATGTTGATCAAAGAGAGTTTGATCATGGCTATGCATTAATGGAGATCCCAGAAGAATCATGCTACAACGGACAAGAAAACAAAAACACCACAACATCAAAAGCCAGGAACATAAGCACAATGCAGACACAGTCTTGAAAGGGACTTGAAAGGGTGGCTTTGATTTGCGACTTATTCCAAAGCTCTAATTTGTATTCTGACAAGCAGTTCCTGTATTTTACTGCAAAGAGAGATAAGGAAGTGGTGCAACACACATATCATTTTCTCCCAAGGCACAAATTCTATCATCAATTAGCTACTAACAAGCACAAGTAGCTAAGGGGCACAACCGAAAAAAAAACCATTCTTAAAAGTTTCTACAGGAGAGGTAGGTGCAAAAAGACACCTATGAAAAAGGAAAAGAAAAAGAAAAAAAGACACCTATGAAAAAGACACCTATGAAACAGGCATAGAATCAAAATCAGTACCATTTTATAAAGCCTTAGTAAGGCCACACCTGGAATACTGCATCCAGTTTGGGTCACCACATTACAAAAAAGATGTTGAGACTTTGGAAAAAGTGCAGAGAAGAGCAACTAAGATGATTAAAGGCCTGGAGGCTAAAATATATGAAGAATGGTTGCAGGAACTGGGTATGGCTAGTCAAGAGAAAACAAGGAACAGGGATGACATGATAGTAGTATTCCAGTATTTGAGAGGTTGCCACAAAGAGGAGAGGGCCACCCTATTTTCCAAAGCACCACAAAGCAGGACAAGAAATAATGGATGGAAAGTAATCAAGGAGAGAAGCAACCTGGAATTAAGGAGAAACTTCCTAACAGTGAGGACAATTAACCAGTGGAAGAGCTTGCCACCAGAAGTTGTGGATGCTTCATCACTGGAGGTCTTTAAGAAAAGACTGGACAGTCACTTGTCTGAAATGGTATAGGGTCTCTTCCTTAAATGGGGGTTGGACTAGAAGATCTCCAAGGTTCCTTCCAGCTCTATTCTGATTGATTGCAATAAGAAAGTATAGGATTATGTAACAAATTCAACCTGGGTTCACTTCCCAACACTCCAATTTGTAAAAAAAAAAACAAGAGAAAAAGTTAACTGCTTGGATGCATCTTTTTTTAAAAAAGGTTTTTTTATTTATAATACAGTTAAAAAAAAAGTGGACATAACGTAACATTCCAGTATAAATATTTCTAACAAATTGTTCCTCTTCTTACATACAGTTCTTTATCTCTATATATATACATATTTTTTTTTCTATACAATATCTAATTTATTTCTCTATTTACTAACCTAAAATTATGTGTATTTCTATCTTAACACTAGACTATAACCCGGACAGTCGTCCTTGATTCACACCAATAGTAAAATTTGTCCCAGATTTCGAAGTAATCTGACTCTGTCTTGTCCTTCAGTTCCATTGTGAGCCTGTCCATATCGGCACACGATAATATTTTGTATAGTATCTCTTCCTCGGTTGGGGTTTCTTTATTCCTCCAATTTTGTGCATACGCCAATCTAGCAGCAGTGAGGATGTGTAGCATCAGGTAGAATATCCCTTTGTCGTATTTCTGTGTAGTTATGCCCAATAGGAGAAGTTCTGGTTTTAGCTCTATCTCTATCGTTAATATTTCTTTCAGCCATTTTTTTTTATCTTATTTGCTTGGATGCATCTTATTTGAGATATTTATTTTTTCTCTGCCTTCCAGAGCTGATCAGGTAGAATTAGGTTGCCCTAAAATGTTAGATTTCTATCTCAGGTTTGCATGTCGAACTGTCAACTTAGATTGGCTGAGAGCTGAATCTGACGTGTCCTATACCCCCATATTTTTACCTATTTCTCCTTCTCACTTTTTTTTCCCTCCAGGTCCTATTCCTCAGCAATGCTCGTGGTCCTGCTCTTTTGTGCTTTAGTGTCAGCAGTGTCGTCAGTATCCACCCCAGCACCAAAGCAAGAAGTCCACAGCTGGAATGCTTGTTCCTTGGTGGTGTGTGGACCAGCTGAGAAAGGGATACCCGGACGGGACGGCCGAGATGGAGTTCAAGGATTAAAAGGGGAAAAGGGAGAGCAAGGTCTGGAATTCATGCCTTCCTGGTGTTGTTTAATTCTTTTTGGGGGGTCAGCTTTCTGGACATGCATTAAAAGAGGGGTTTTTTCCCTTGCATTTTTCTCCAGTGTATTTGCTCCATTGGGGGAGTGAAGTGTATGCCCGTGGAATCAAAAATTCTCTTTTCCACTGATTCTTCCCTTTGTTCACTTGTTCCTGTCGCTCTCTCTCCATTTGGCTCTTAATAGGCAGAAAGAAAGACAACTCATCAATGCACTGATGATGTTAACTAGTTGGGTAATGAAACATCTACAAGAAAACCACCAAGCTCAGAGAGCACCTAGGACCGACTCCACAAAAACCCAGGACAGAAATTTGTACCAATTACTTGCAAGATTGTATGTAGTTGAGCTAAGGACCACAGAAAATTAGGATGGGATTGTAGGTTAGCACCGCCCTTTTCTAGTCCTTGGGAGTCCTTTGTACCAATGTTCTGACAGCTGCTTGTGACTCTGTCTTATAAGTAAAATGAGTTCAGTGCCATGTGTAGTAACTTCAATTTGGGTAGAGAGTAGAATTTACAAATCAGCTTTGCCCCATTTTTCTTCAGAAGTCAGTTTGGAGGAGAATAGAATAGAAGGCAGCTCTGGATTGTATGGAAGATCTGTCTTTGTATTTAGGGGAACATGGAAATAGTTTCCCATCGGGCTTCTGGCTGAACATGCAGAGATCGGGACGAATAGAAGACATCTGAATTTATCCACATATTTCATCAAATGGATTAAACAGATCTTTAATCTCAGAGTTTGAGATTGTTAATCCCTATTTCAATCTTGAACCACAGGAAGGAAGGAAGGAAGGAAGGAAGGAAGGAAGGAAGGAAGGAAGGAAGGGAGGAGGGAGGGAGGGAGGAAGAAAGGAAAGGAAAGGGAAGGGAAGGGAAGGGAAGGAAAGGAAAGGAAAGGAAAGGAAAAGAAAGGAAAGGAAAGGAAAGGAAAGGAAAAAAAGAAGAGGTGGAGGGAGGGAGGGAGGAAGGAAGGAAAAAAGGAAGGAAGGAAGGAGGGAGGGAGGAAGAAAGGAAAGGAAAGAAAAGGAAAAAGAGGGATAGGGAGGGAGGGAGGGAGGAAGGAAGGAAGGCCTACTTACGTTGACTCTGTTTACATTTCTTTCTACCTCATATCGTCAACTAAGCTTTATGTACAACTTTAAAACATTTCCCTCACCTTACCAAGTATCCTGCTTTCTAGCTGTGGTCAACAATAGGGTGCAAACACGCAAGAGTTAAAGAAAAAAGAGAATAGAATACATCTGCTGTTTGCAAGCCCGATAGATCAAGTCTTACTGAAATCCAAGTGAAGGGAGTAGCAGGACTTGAAGTTTACCCATTGGTGGATAGCATCAAGATGGTCCAGTAACGACCCCTCAGAAAGTCCAGAGCTTTCCTTGGTTTCATTGGTCTATCAAAACTTTATTTAAATTATGTAATACCGGCTGGTATGCCCCATATTTATAATTTAGCTTCGGGCACATGTTATGCAGCTCTCTGTTCGATGAGTCATTTCTTCACTTTTGAAGTTGGGTAACTTGAAGGAAACTGAGAATACTGAGAAGCCAGCAAAGACTTATCAGAGGAGGGTATTAAAAGTGTAAGATGACCACCTTCCTATTTTGGAGAACTTTCTTAAATTTCCAAATAGGTTAAGATAACTCAGGAAGTAATTTGAGTAGACCTTTCTTGAAGGCCGCTGAGCCTCACTTCGTATAATCTCTCTCATGGCTTAAGAACCCTGAGCTTCCTCTCAACACGTTTTTTTTTTTTTTAAAAAAAACTCCTATTATGATTAGTCAAAATAATCTTTGTTGCCTGGGAATTGTTGGAACTGAAGTCCAACATACCAAGGACACAGCTTGTGGAGAAAAAAGCCCGGACAATCATGACTTTAAACATGTAAGTGAACAAAGCTCAGTTGAATGAAGGAAGGTGGAGGGGACCCTTTGACTTGCATGAATCAACTTTCAGGGCTGCTTTTCGGATATTACCAATTTAGCAAGAATCGTGAGCTAGACTTTTATTTAAATTAGGTTTAAATCAGATGGAGATATACCCAAGGCGCCTGTTCCTATTGGATACTACTTTTAGTTTCTTTGGGCCAGTCTATAGAGATTCTCAGTCATCCAGGTCATGGTTGTCCCAAAGATGCTTTTTCAGGAAGCAACTGGACTTTCTTGTTTTTCTTTGAAGACATTTCTCTTCTCATCCAAGAAGCTTCTTCAGCTCTGACTGGATGGTGGGGAATGGAAGGATTTATATTCCTTGCAGACAGCTGGTCATTTGCCTTCTTTTGGAGAGTCGTTGAGGCCATTTGGAGGTCTACCTTTGTCCTCAGGGTCACCTGAGTAGTACAAATGTGTGTGGAGCCTTCTTGGCTGTAGGATGTTTTCTGTCCCTTCACCATTGAAGACAGGTGCAGGCTGCTGGGGATGGGTCTGGGTTGCCTCCATCTCAAACAGAAGCGCAAATGATTCCTGGAGTCTGCAAAGTTTTCTGGAAATCTGTTCATCCTCCCGCACCCTTTGCAGGGCGTTCATCCCAAAATGCATAGCTCAATGTCTATGGAGGTTCTCAGTCCTTCAGGTCCTGATTGTCCCAAAGGTGCTTTTTCAGGAGGCAACTGGACTTTGTTTTTCTTTGAAGATGTTTCGCTTCTCATCCAAGAAGCTTCTTCAGCTCTGACTGGGCGGATGGATTTATATTCCTTGCAGACGGCTGGTCATTTGCATCCTTGTAGACATTGCCACAGTCATTCTATTTCTGTTGGCAGACCTTTGAATTATTATTTTTAAATCTTCTCCAGTTCTTTCTTTTTTCTTCTGCTGTCTTCAGGTACTGCCACATCCACTATCCAGACTAGGCTCAAGACCGCTGTAACAGAGCCCATCCATCTTTCTGCTGACCTTCCTCTTCTTCTCTCTCCTTACACCTTTCAGGTCTAAGAGCCTTCTCCACAGAGCTGAGTCTTTGCATCATGTGTCCAAAGTGGGATAATTTGAGCTCGATCACCTTTGCCTCTAATTAGAACCCTGGGATGATTAGAGAAGTGGGGCAAATGGATTTGATGGTTAGGTTTATTCTGTACAGGGCTAATCACTTTACATTTTTCACGGGCCACATAGATTTGCATCACTTTTCCAAAAACACTCAACATCACCTAATTCATAATCTTTGCTTCCATTTGTTTAAAGGACTGCTAGGCCCAAAAGGAAGCCTGGGTCCTCCAGGGAAGATGGGGCCAGCTGGACCAGCAGGACAAAAAGGGTCTCAGGGGAATCCTGGAACAAGAGGCGATGCTGGACAAATAGGTAAGATGCGTCCGAGATCACGTCTCAATATCCAGCTTGGGGATCCAAATAAAAGTCCAGGTTCATTCTGTTTCTGGAAAACTTTACTGTTTATTGAATACACGGCATGGTAAGGTCAAAGCAAAACTAACTTTGAGGTTGCCAGACACCAGTTTATAGAATTAAATAATAATTTCTCTGGCCCAACCCCCCCTCCTCTCACGTAGTCCATGTAAACAATTTCACTTTGTTATGGGAACCATCTGCTTCTTCTCCACACCTGCTGCGGTGTCCTTGGAGAGGTTTCAGGCTGTCATAGTCTTCAGTGGAATCGTAGAGGTTTCGTTTCTCCATCTAACCCATTCTAAAGCAACACATTCCCCCTCCCTTACTCTAATGGAAAGTTGAAATGAAGAGGCACGTAGCTGCCCAAGTTTCATTCTTGACGCCACCTTTATGGTTTCCAGTTTTCCCAGTTGTTAAATGAGGCATCCAACGCGCCCAATTTGACAAACTTTTTTTTGCCACAGTTGTTAAAGTGAATCCAACTTCCCTCATTGACTTTGCTTGTCAGAAGCCAGCTGGAAGGTCACAAATTGCAATCAGCTGACCACAGAATGCTGCACCCTAAATCATGACCATGTGAATTATGTGGGTGGTACGGTGGTTGTACCTTCGAGGACAGGTCACGAGTCCCTTTTATTGGTGCCATCATAACCTTGAACCATGGTTAAACAAATGTTTGTAAATTGATAGTACGCGACCTGTACCATCATGTACCATTGAGCTATCTAATCGAGGCTTACTGACAGCCAGCTTCATTGCTCAGAGATATATCTGGTCTACATCTCCAATACTGTAGTTTATCAACATACTCAAGAAGTCTCAGATAAAATAGAATAGAATAGAATAGAATAGAATAGAATAGAATAGAATAGAATAGAATGTAGAATATAGAGTAAGGTAGAGTAGAGTAGAGTAGAGTAGAGTAGAGTAGAGTAGAGTAGAGTAGAGTAGAGTAGAATAGAATAGAATAGAATAGAATAGAATAGAATAGAATAACAGAGTTGGAAGGGACCTTGGGGGTCTTCTAGTCCAACCCCTTACTCAGGCAAGAAACCCTATACCATTTCAGACAAATGGTTGTCTAATCTCTTCTTAAAAGCTTTCAGTGCTGGAACAAGTTGTTCCACTGGTTGATTGTTCTACCCATCAGGAAATTTCTCCTTAATTCTAGGTTACTTCTCTCCTTGATGAGTTTCCATACCTTGCTTCTCATCCTGCTTTCAGGTGCTGTGGAAAATAGCTTGACTCCCTCTTCTTTGGGGCAGCCCCTGAGATATTGGAACCCGGCTATCATGTCACTCTATACCCTGTAGCTCTGGGTTGAACACAATAGATCACTGTCCTCCCTAATACATTGCTCTCTCTTTTCTAACGTTTATTTCCTTTGACCAGGACCCCGCGGGATTCAGGGTTTGCAAGGTCCTCCTGGAAATGTGGGCCCTTCCGGACCGAAAGGTAACATTGGCCCACAAGGTGAGAAAGGTGTCAAAGGAGAAACGGGTAAGTGTGTTTCATTAAGAGAGACCGATTCCCTCTACTGATGCTCCATAATTTGATTAAAAAGTAATTATTGAAGAAGAAGAGTGTGACAAGGTGTTCGACGGATCGATGGGGCTGTATTCTTGCAAACATCAATTAAGAGATCATTGGCAGTCCATCTGCAATGTCCCAAAGGGATCTTCTTTTCAAGGAGGTTGGAAAGATCAGTGAGTTTATTGAAGCTACTGAGCAAGGTCAAAGCAGTTTTCCAAATTCTGTCTTCAAACCCTTTTAGGGAGTTAACCCTACGGTTTAAATTTAGAAAAATTGGGATAAAATGGTAATAAGATATCTGGCACAAAAAAAAATAGAACTATGCTTTCTCTCCTATGCATCTACAGCTATTGAATCCTGAGCCTAGATTTGAATTTGCATATAATAGTAATAATGATGATGATGATGATGATGATGATGATGATGATGATGATGATGATGATGATGATGATAAAGTTGGAAGGGACCTTGGAGGTCATCTAGTCCAACCCCCTGCTCAGACAGGAAACCCTATACCATTTTGGACAAATGGCTGTCCAGTCTCTTCTTAAAAACTTCCAGTGTTGGAGCATTCACCGCTTCTGGAGGCAGGTTGTTCCACTGGTTAATTGTTCCAACTGTCAGGAAGTTTCTCCTTAGTTCCAGGTTGCTTCTCTCCTTGATTAGTTTCCATCCGTTGCTTCTTGTCCTGCCTCCAGGCGCTTTGGAGAAGAGCTTGACTCCCTCTTCTTTGGGGCAGCCCCTGAGATATTGGAACACTGCTATCATGTCCCCCCTCATCCTTCTCTTCGTTAAACTAGACATACCCAATTCCAGCAACCATTCCTTATATGTTTAGCCTCCAGTCCCCTGATCATCTTTGTTGCTCTTCTCTGTACTCTTTCTAGAGCAGTGTTTCTCAACCTTGACAATTTTAAGGCATGTGGACTTCAATTCCCAGAATTCCACAGCCAGCATTGCTAGCTGTGGAATTCTGGGAGTTGAAGTCCATATGCCTTAAAATTGTCAAGGTTGAGAAACACTGTACTAGAGTCTCAGCATCTTTTTTACATCGTGGTGACCAAAACTGGATGCCGTATTCCAAGTGTGGCCTTACCAAGGCATTGTAAAGTGGTATTAATACTTCATGTGATCTTGATTCTATGCCTCTGTTAATGCAGCCCAGCACTGTGTTGGCCTTTTTGGCAGCTGCAGCACACGGCTGGCTCCTATTTAGGTGATTGTCCACTAGGACTCCGAGATCCCTCTCACAGTTACTACTGTTGAGCAAGATACCCCCTATACTACTGTATACCTGTGCATTTGGTTTTTCTTGCCTACAGTAAATGTAGAACCTTACTTTTTTCACCATTGAATTTCATTTTGTTAGATAGCGCCCAGTGTTCAAGTCTGTCCAGATCCTCCTGTATGCTTGTAGTTGTAATAAATAAATTCTTAAACAAATAGAGAGCTAGATCGAGTATCCAAGAATTTGGGGGGCGGCACAAAACACTAAGAAAACAGAAGATTTGTTAGGAGGCAGCTCACATCAACATCAGGTGCACGAAATTGTAGAGTTTCTATTTTTTTACGGTTCTGATTGGTTTTGTTGCAATGCCATGATGAGTCTTGTGGGCATGAATTGAGAAGTATCAGATTCATTTTATGAAAAAAATGGATTAGATTAGGAGGCTACCTGCCCTATTCTTTTATTGGGCATTAACAAAGCAGAACTGAAAACCAGAAATGACGTTCTTGTTTTGTGATTCTTATTTTTGCAAAGCACCTGTCTCGTTTTGAATGTTTTGTTTTGTTTTCAATCTTCAATATCACTGTAGGTCTCAAAGGAGCCCTTGGTCCTCCAGGGCCCCAAGGCAAAATAGGTGCCCCTGGACCAGCTGGGGCCAAAGGATCAGTGGGCGAAAAAGGAGCAAAAGGAGACCTGGGTGTCCAAGGTAAGTCAAGAGTTGTGCCACATTGAACTTCAAGCATTGCTTGGGCTGAAAAACACTTTTGTTGCAGGATCCTTGTGTTGATTTGGTTGGGAAATAGGTTGTTTGTCCTACTCTCGGCTTCTGGAAGTGGCAGGAGATAAGAGGGGAGGGGGCTTTGAAATGTACATAAAAGGAAAGAAGAAGTTAGAGGGAAAAAAGGTGGGGTAGAAAGAGCAAACAGGGGCAGGAAGCAAAGTCTCAGGAAAGTTTTTCCATTCTTGCAAAACCAGGAAAGAGAAATAGATGTTTTAGCTAAGAAGAAAAGAAAGAAAGAAAGAAAGAAAGAAAGAAAGAAAGAAAGAAAGAAAGAAAGAAAGAAAGAAAGAAAGAAAGAAAGAAAGAAAGAAAGAAAGAAAGAAAGAAAGAAAGAAAGAAAGAAAGGAAAGAAAATGTATTTCTCCAGACATGAACGCCACAACTCTACCCCAAAATTAAGAGATTACAGGGTTGTAAAAGGGGAGGTTTCATTCATTCATTCATTCATTCATTCATTCATTCATTCATTCATTCATTCATTCATTCATTCATTCATTCATGGAGATAAACCAAATGCCTAGTGATTGTCACCCAGGTTTCTTGACGAGATTGTAGAAGCACTTGTCCTTGGCTGCTTCTTGAAAAGTTTTTTTCTCCCTGTCCCAACTTTCTAGTCTGCAATCCTGGTCTTCCTTCACGGTCTTCCACCCAGCTCCTAAACACGTCCAGTCTAGGACCAGTTAGCAGGGAGTTCCCTACATCTTTGTGCTCCATCTCACAATCACCTGCAGTTTTGCAAACCAGGTCTAGGAAACCCAAGTCTGGAAGCCCAGAGCAATAACAGTGCTTGAGGGTCTGCTGCCATATGCAGTTTGGTCCATAATTAGTTTTCCTGTGAGATACCAGATGCTGGAGCCCCATTTGTGCTTTGTGACCCTAATCCTGCAGCCTGGGAAATGAGCTCTCATCTAAGAATGAGATTGGCTTAGGTTCCTTCTCTTTGCTCTTTTTCTGATTGGTGGACACCTGCTTGTTTATTTTTTGTTTGTTTGTTTGTTTGTTTGTTTTAAGCAAATTGGCCAAGTTAGAGGTGGAACCATCAAAAAAACCCTTAACTGAATTCCATCTAATTTGGCAACAGCAAACCAATTCTAAGAAGTCAAGGAGCTACGTTGAGGTGCCCATGCATTCATCAGGGGTTGAGTTGGAGATTGAAGAGGACTTTATTTTTGAGTTGTAGCAGATGGCAGCAGATTGGCTGATCTCAAAAAGCTAAGCCAAGTCAGGGCCAATTAGCAGCTGGATGGCATCCACCAGGACATCCCTAGTCGGCAGACTGAACTGAGAAGTTGGAAACTATCCCAGCAGGTGGCAGAGAAACTACATCAATATCTTTGCTGAGAAAGATCCAATAAGAATTGAGCTTGACTCAAAGAAACATATCATGCTATTTGAGGGAAATAGAGAGGGGGCATTGAATGTATTGAGTTGAGTTATTTATATATGGTTTTATTTTTGAATGTTTGATTACCTTAACACCACGGTGTGTCCTGAGCACTTTGCCTTAAGAATTAAAAAAAACTAATAAAATGTGTTTCAAAAAAAAAAAAGAATTGAGCTTGACTCAAAGAAGATTTAGTCCAAAGAAAGTTAAGTTTCCACCCCCATCGTGTGTTCTTTAGAAATGTATCCCACCTTAAATGACTTGCTGGTCTGCTCTCTCCCAACAGGACTGCAAGGACCACCAGGTCCTCTAGGACCAAAGGGAAACCCTGGTTCTCCTGGACCCAAAGGAGATAGGGGTACCACGGGTGAAAAGGGGACAAAGGGCGATAGCGGTCTCTCAGGTGAGTGAGTTGAATGTTGCTTCCTTGTTGTGAAGTTTCATTTAACCACCTTTAGGAGAACGTCTCAAGTCTGTCCTTTTCATGTCGTTGTGACTTCCTTCCGGTGCCCTTTTTAACAGGGATGCGGTTAATATTTCAGATCAACCCATCTGATGTTTCCATCAACCTTTTGTCAATGTATTAGTTGGTAATGGGGTGGTGGGGTCCACATATATTTTCAGCAAGGAAAAGGCACATGGGAAAGGAAGTCAGTGTTTGGATGAGTCAACGGATGTCAGGTGCAAAGGATCAGGTCCATATGCTGATCTGAAGTTCAAAAAAGACTTATGCCCAAGAATCTAGTCAACTAAAATTCAATGCTAAATTGGCACCAGCTAAAGGTCAATGGAATTCAATAGCCATTGGACTTGGACCATTTGTGGCAATGTAACGACTCTGCTGCTGATGCATTTAACTCCACCTCTCAGTTCTGCCTGCTCTTCTCCTACATTGGTGTCTTCCTATTCATGATGCTATGGTCCAACATCTTGCAGACTGTGATCATCTTGTTCTCTCTTAGAGGTCAATCTTTTGAAGACCAAAGTTAGCAGCCTGGAAGGACAGCTGAAAGCTCTGCAAGCCAGCTTTGCCAAGTACCAGAAAGGTAAAAATGATGTGCAGAATACACAAATCCCTCTGGAGGAGTTTGATCTCCCAGCAAAGAGCTGATGGGTTAGGGCCAGCAATGCTGGGAGTTGAAGGCCACATGCCTTAAAATTGTCAAGGTTGAGAAACACTGGGTTAGGCGCACTGGTGCACTGCAGCGGCACCCATAAGCCCCAGAGTGTGGTAGAAAGCTTGACAGCAGGTGCTAATCGTTGGGGAGGTGCTGCTGCCCCATACTTGAAAATTGTTCACTGAGTTGAAGATGCTCGACCGCTTTAATCATCGGGGTTGTGTCAGGGTGAAAGGGACACTTGGTTTCAAAGGGACACTTGGTTTCAAAGAAAGTTCACGAGAAGCTTCCACGTTGTTTCGCGGAGCAAGGATGCCCTTCAAGATAGTCTCTTGCGTTTTCAGCAAGTGGAAGAAAAAATTGTGCAAAGTAAAACAACACAGCTAGGGGAACTGCATTATTTCCAAGGCTCTTCCAGGTTTTTACATTTATCCCTATTAGTGCATATATTGTACTGTATGTGTATCCCAAAGATGCTTTTTCAGGAGGCAACTGGACTTTCTTTGAATATGTTTTGCTTCTCATCCAAGAAGCTTCTTCAGCTCTGACTGGATGGTGGGAAATGGAAGGATTTATAGTCCTTGCAGACAGCTGGTCGTTTGCCTTCTTTTAGTGAGTCATTGAGACCACTTGGAGGTTTATCTGTGTCCTCAGAGTCACCTGAACGGTGCAAATGGGTGTGGAGCCTTCTTGGCTGCAGGATGTTTTCTGCCCTGGGTCCCTTCACTGTTGAAAACAGACACAGGCTGTTGGGGAAGAGTCTGTGTTGTCTGCATCTCAAACTGGAGCGCAAATGGTTCCTGTAGTCTGTACTACAGGACTTCCCCACCATCCAGGCAGAGCTGAAGAATCTTCTTGGATGAGAAGCAAAACGTCTTCAAAAGAAAAACCAGAAAGTCCAGTTGCCTCCTGGTTGACCTTTGGGACAACCAGGACCTGGGATGACTGAGAACCTCCACAGATACTCTATGTGTACTTACCCTAATGTATAACACAGTGAACGAAATGAATTTGTAAGGAGACTGTAAAGCTGCTTTCTGGGAAAATAATCCTAGTATTTACACACAGTAAAAAAAAAAGCTAATTTTATTTTATTTATTTATATTTATTTATATTTCACACGGCTCAGCGGCCAATCTCCCTTAGGTTTGATTTGATTTTATTTATTTTAATAAAACGTTCCTGCAGTTTTTGGTATGGTTTGGATGTATCTCCCATCCTTGCCATCTTTGTTTAATTTTAAGTTGATGTTGATGTTAATATTTATTATTTGAATGTATTCTCTGCATTTGCTGTCTTTAATTGGTTGTAACCCATGTAGAGGTGCCTCTAGCCTAGATGGACAAGATATACATATAATAACTATGGGATAAACCACTGGGGATTTTCCAAGGCTAGGATGATTGGGAAAATGACATATTGCTAACAGCGGTATTTGAAGAGTCACCGCTCTCTTCCTATGGCAGGTTGACCTTGCATCAATTTACATCAGTGTAATCATTTACTACACAATGGCTGGTGTTGACGCTGACCTAAGAATGCACCCTTTTTTTTGTTCATTCTAGTCGCCATGTTCCCAGGGGGACGCAGTGTCGGCAGCAAAGTCTTCATAACCAACGGCTACGAAGGCAACTTCGAGGACTTGAGACTCAAGTGTGTGCAGGCCGGAGGGCTGCTGGCAACTCCGAGAAATGTAGCGGAGAACGATGCCATCCAAAAGATTGCAGTGATGTACAACAAAGGGGTCTTCCTTGGCATAACTGACGTAAAGACCGAAGGGACATTTAAGTACCTAAACGATCAGCCCATCACTTACTCCAACTGGTTGCAAGGGGAGCCCAATAATAATCAGGGCAAGGAGAATTGTGTGGAAATGTTCTCCAATGGGAAATGGAATGACAAATCCTGTGGGGAGAAAAGGCTACTGGTCTGTGAACTTTAGACCATCTGTCAGGGCACCGTTTGGATCAGGGGGTCTTCATGCTCGGCCCTTTTATGACTCGTGGACTTCCAATCCCAGAATTCCTCAGCCAGCACAGCCATAAAAGAGCCGAGTTTGAAGACCCCCGATTTAGATCCAGGGAGGCTGTGATGTTTTAATACCATGCTTGCTTTTTATCTATAGGCATTAAATAAATCATGACTTTAGCTAATCCTCTCTAAATTCTAGTGAAGGGGAACTATTGATTTCATGTATAACATTAAAGTAACTATCAAGGACAGTTCACAGGTACAGTGTACTTTCCACCTAATGATTATTAATTAATTAATTAATTAATTAATCGGAATATGGCTGGAAGGGACCTTGGAGGTCTTCTAGTCCAGCGCCCTGCTCAAGCAGGAGACCCTGTACCATTTCAGAGGTGGCTGTCCAGTCTCTTCTTAAAATCCTCCAGTGATGAAGCACCCACAAGGTCTGAAGGCAACTTCTGTTCCACTGGTTAATTGTCCTCAATGTTGGGAAGTTTCTCCTTAATTCCAGGTTGCTTCTCTCCTTGATCAGTTTCCATACGTTGCGTCTCGTCCTGCCTTCTGGTGCTTTGGCATGCAAGTGTCCTAAAGGTGGCGGCAATAGGATTAAGGACTCCAATTCTCTGCTGACACCTAGTGGTCATCCAATTTTTTGCATCTCAGATATGGTAGAAGCTAGAATGGGAACCAGGATCCAATGAGGCCATGACATCTACAGACCCCTCACATCCTGGACATAAACTGTTTCAACTCTGAACACATAATCCTCACAGTATTGTCTTATGCCTAGGTATATTCACCCAGGTTGTATGGCTGTAGTATTATTAGTACCCTTCTCATCTTCTCTAGTACCCCCTTTTGTTGATGTCATATTATGATGATTATTACTCTGTTGCTTTGCATGTACACGGAGAGCTTCTGCACCGGAGACAAATTCCTTGTGTGTCTAATCACACTTGGCCAAATAAAATATTCTAAAGTATTCCAATTCTTTCGGGCCTAGCTATGAAAATGCTCTGTCTAATTTTCTGAAAGGTTACCAGGTTACCAGTCCTAGTTTATTTCTGTTTGTTTGTCTTTCCATTGTTACTTGCCTGAAAACAATGATATCTCCTGGACTTGCTTTAACTTCTGACACATTGTGATCAGCATAGAGAGCATACAGTACTGGCCAAAATTGTGGAAACCTTTTGGAAAAATTTTATTTTTGAGATTTGATGGCTGATAACACCACTTTTTTGGGGGAGTAGTACCATAAAATTATATATCAATGGAAAGATCATTTAATCAAGAATGTAATGCAACAATTATCTGTACTGTGTTCTATGAAAAATTATAGTCAAATAATCAGAAAGAGGAAGCACAACTTGCTTAGGTTGATCTCAGGCAGCTTTCCTTCATCTGATGGTAGCCAATGAGCATGAGCTTTTAGAGAGCCAATTGGGTGTCATCTTGTTTTGGCAATGAGCCAATCAGATCACAGTAGGATTCAGTTCTTGATATCATGTATTGAAGCTGAGAGGACATTTGTCAATGTGTTATGTGATCCCTATCAAGTTGTTTGGGTTTTTTTGTGTTCTTTCATTTGGTGAGCTTGTAAAACGTAATGAAATTAAATGGTGCAAAGAGTTTATTGGTGCAAAGAGTTTATTGGTCACCCAGAAAGTGATGTAAAATAGTATTATTAAGTGAACAAGGTTACAGTCATAAAGAAATTAGAAGAAAAATGGGTGGAAACTTAACCAAAGTTGGCATTTCTACTGTACACGTTTCCCAAAAGGTTTCCACAATGTTGGCCACTACTGTATACTCAACAGGCAGAAGACTGAAAGTTCAGAAGCAACCAGAACTAAAGAGAAACTTCCTAACAGTGAGAACAATTAACCAGTGGAATGACTTGCCTCCAGAACCTATGGGTGCTCCATCACTGGAAGCTTTTAAGAAACTGGACAGACATTTGTTTGAAATGGTCTAGGCCAGGGGTAGGCAACCTTGGCTCTTTTATGACTCATGGACTTCAACTCCCAGAATTCCTCAGCCAGCCTGGCTCAGCTTGGAAACCTCTCCCTTTCCCCTCAGCATGGCTGGCTCAGGAATTCTGGGAGTTGAAGTCCACGAGTCATAAAAGAGCCAAGGTTGCCTACCCCTGGTATAGGGTCTCCTGCTTGAGCAGGGGGTTGGACTAGAGTCCCTTCCAACTCTGTTGTTCTGTTCTGTTCTGTTAGCTCTGCACAAAGTTGACTAGATCAACTAGTTGTCACCAAAATGGCTCATGAATAGCATCAGCTCCAGATATTGTCTTTCCTGCATGTCTCCAACTGCCATATCCTGATCCACAATTCCTCTCTCTTTGCTATAATTTGCTTCTTTAAAAGCTATCCATGACAGCTCATCCAGTTTGGCCCTCAGGTAAGTCAGGCTGAACAAGTTGGATTGATACGCCCGTTGGCAGGTTTGGATCATATGCACAACTGAACAATCAGAAACTACTTACACTGGCCATTCAATTTACACATTTTCTTTCGGCAATTATCTGCCTTACCTGGGCCAGGATGAAAATTACGCGGAGACTGTCTGCAAGATAGAAAACAGCTGTGACCTGCTATCTTGTTCAAACATCTTGTGGAAATTAAACATACTGAAGTGTGAAATTGGTTGATGCTGTCACTTCACACACTCTATCTGAGCCTTCATTGGAACATGTGCCAACATGGTGTGATCGCATTAATTAGTGAACACATATTGATTTCAAGCTATCTATCTAATTTGTTTGATATTTTTTTTTAACCACTCTTCCCACCATAATCATTATTCCATGCGTGCATTTTACTGGGATTGTTTTAGGCTGGGTTAAGAATCATATGCCGTGCTTCTAAAGCTAGACAAAGTCCTTCTGCAACAGAATAGTAGGAATTCATTCCCTCTGGATTTTAGGTTTCCTGAATCGTGGCTTTTTTATACAGAAAAAAGCACCGATTGGTGCCGATGTGAAAATGTCACCAAAGCAAGTCTGTTCTTTTCTGGCATCACTATTTGACTTGGTCCTATAGGAAAGGAATGAAAGAAGAAGAAAGAAGAAAGAAGAAAGAAGAAAGAGAAGGAAGAGGAGGAGTAGGAGGAGAACAAGAAGAGAGAAAGAGAGAAAGAGAAAAGAAAAGAAAAGAGAGAAAAAGAAAGAGAAAAAGAGAAAAAGAGAGAAAAAGAGAGAAAAAGAGAGAAAAAGAAAGAGAGAGAGAGTGAGAGAAAGAGAGAGAGAGAGAGAGAGAGAGAGAGAGAGAAAGAGAAAGAAAGAAAGAAAGAAAGAAAGAAAGAAAGAAAGAAAGAAAGAAAGAAAGAAAGAAAGAAAGAAAGAAAGTGAGAGTGAGTGAGTGAGTGAGTGAGAGAGAAGGGGGAGAGAGAGAGAGATGAACTGGCTGGCCCCAGTCTTTTCTTACTCTCCATTACTGGCTTCACAGATTCTGTTTTTCCTCTTGCTCATTTATTCTCAATTGGCAAACATTTTGGCAGGAAGTTATTCAAATCTAATGGCTTTCAAGGCATCTCTGAAGCTTGAAAAAGCACCAGCATCTGGGCTGGTGGTCAGCTTGCTTTCCCCCCAGCCCTCTCAGAGAAAACACAGCTGTCCAGGAAACAGTGTTTCATCCCACAAAGGTAGCATATCTGGGAATGAATGACAAGCGGTGAGACGGCAGCTCTGCATCTATTGACAATGGCCCAGGCGGGTACGTAAGCTGGGCAAATAAAGAACCAAACCACGCCAGTGGGAAATAAAACCGTATGACATTTATCTGGAGAATCGGTGGAGCGGCAGGTTCTGCTCTGAAAGATAATTAATTGTGTGTGGCTTTCGATTTCATGGCAACAGCCCAAGGCGTGGTTCTCATCTTGAGATCCTTCAACGTTAGAAACGTGTGATGGTAGCTCTGGATGTCCATGGAGATTCTCAGTCATTCCAGGTCATGGTTGTCCCAAAAGTGCTTTTTTCTCCCCCCAAAAGGCAACTGGACTTTGTTTTTTTTCCTTGAAGATGTTTCACTTCTCATTCAAGAAGCTCTGACCAAATGGTGGACGATGGAAGGATTTACATGCCTTGCAGTCATCTGCTCATTAATACTCTTTCTGAGAGTTATTGAGGCCACTTGGGGATTTATCAGTGCCCTCAGGTTCAACTGAGACATGCAAATGGGTGTGGAGCCTTCTTGGAACTGCTGAAAGGACTGTGTTGCAAACAGGAGATCCGTAGTGTTGTATCCCCCCCCCCATTGTGTTGAGATAGGACTGTTTGGTTTGAACATAGATGCCCTCTTTGACCTTCTTTGCTGTTTTCAAAGAGGTGACCGTTGTTTTTCAAATGCAGTTGGACTATTGAATCTTGTCCTGACGGCTTTGCTCTCCTATGTTGCGCCGTGCATTTGTGAAGAGGTTGTTTTGGTTCCCCAGTGTACAGATGTGTGTACATGTCTCGCTGCATTGCAGTGCATATATCACATTGCTCACTTTGTCACTCTGAATAAGCAGCAAGTTAGAGAGTTAATTCATGCGAGCCCGGGGGTCCAACTCGCCACGTCACGTGACGTGTCGCAACATAACACAAAACTTTTTTCGCATTGCGCGGCCTCTGCATGATGCAACCGGCCCCCAGGCTGGTAGTTTGACACCCCTGCATTAGAACAATTAATCAGTGGAACAGCTTGCCTTCTGAAGCTGTGGGTGCTCCATCACTGGAAGATTTTAGGAAGCGAATGGACAACTGTTTATCTGAAATGGTATTAATGCTTGACCAGAGGATTGGACTAGAACAGTGGTTCTCAACCTTTTTAATGCCGTGAACCCCAACCAGTCGTAAGTTGAGGACTAAACCGGTCGTAAGTCAGGGACTAAACCGGTCGTAAGTTGAGGACTACCCAACCGGTCGTAAGTCGAGGACTTTCCCTGCCCGGGAGCACCACGCATGCGTGGTTCCGCCCCCTG